TAACTTCAGTGGATTCACTTCGGGCTATTAGTAGTTTTATAAAGATATTATATAACTTCAGCGGTAAAAGAAACTCTACCTGTAATCGGCGTATAATTAGCGAGAAATACAGAGCTAGCTAGCTCCCTATTAAGTGTATTATACCTACATCAACTCGAAATTAACTCGCTCATCGTGAACCCTCGACAAGACATCAAGGAAGTTCCAGACTAGAAAGAAGACTTTATATTGCTTGTAAGTTTGTAAAACTTTTGTATATAAGTCATTATTTGCAATAACTATTTGTGATAACTGTTATCGTAAATTGTATTATTGTTTACATATTAAAATATATTTGTATTAAAAAAAAGAAAACTGTGTGTATCAATCTTGTTGGCAAATATCATAAATTGCAGATATATTGGCATTTATTTAATTACTAAATTTAAATTATCATTTAGTTCGGTTTCAGACCATTCGAAATTGTAATACGTAACACGTGCCAAACTGCAGGTTGGAAGGACCAAAGCTTCAATACGCTACTCACTTTCAGCTGTGATAACACTAGAACTGAAAGGCCAATTCCGCTACTAGGTTAAGAGTATATCCATATAAGCGGCGGGTGCTGCTGACTGGTTGCTCTCTCACTGGTCAGCAGTTGTAAATAAGTGATGGTTGGCTCCTGTGTCTCTTACCTAGCTGTTAAGACCACGCGTCCAATAAGGCGCCCTTTAGGTTGAAAATATAAAGTACTGACTGTATTCAATCTAAATAAAGGCAACTAGATAATGTACCCTTTCAACGCAAGGAAATATCATGGGGAGGGGGGCTGGAGGAGTGGCATAGGGGTCAAATGCGCAAGCTGGCCATCTGTGTCACTTATTTGGGCGCCCTTAGGATACATGCCAGGTTTGGTGACGATCGGTCGAGCGGTTCGACAGTTATAAACGGATACACACACACAGACTTTTGTTAAATAATGATTTATAAATTATAAGCTAGTTTAATTTCTTAGTCTAAATCTATATATTTCTTGGTACAGTTCTTGTTTAGTTTGTTTTAGCGCAAAGCTAAGCAATGTTCCATCTGTGCTTCGTCCATCGCAAGGAATTGAACCCAGTCATGGTACAGAACATTGCGCACCTAGATACATATAAAACCACAAAACTGAGATTTTTTTTAAGGTTCAACACGAGGTATCGACTGCTTTGTGAATGACTACAAATTTCTAACGTACGTAATACTAACTGATTACCTTGGGTGTCCTCGCCAGTTAAACTGTTGTTAATGGTGTCAAATCGTCGCACTGGTGAATTCTTTCTTGCAAAAATACCACAGTCTCTTGCTTCTGGAAAAGATAAACTTGATTAAGGAGTAATCATATTTATATTATAATATAGTAAAGAAGGATTAGTATTTCACTGCAAAGTACCAAGATACTTAATATCACACATATACTTAGAGAGTGTATGAAAGTAGATTCATAAATAACGAAATATTAGATTACTTACTTTTACAAAACTGTTGGCTAGAGTTCGGACCCAGTGTAATAGGAGAAGTGCTATTGCTTGTGCTCATGAGAGACCCGAAACTATCATAACTTGGATCACGACCACGTGTTCTGTAACCAGTTAGGCTATTTAGACCTTCCGCCTCAGAAGATCCTAAATAAATAAATTTATAGAATTTTTTTTGTCTTTCAGAATTACAGTACATACTGAAGGAATGTTGTACACATAATAAAAAAAACTACTTTTACACTCTAGATTCTTATAAGAGAACATTTATTTCAACCCACGTTTCGCTTTTGCAAGACAATAATTATATTCAATATCACAAACACACATACACATATATATATATACAGTAGAAATGGCTTGTATGAGTATTCAAAACTTTTATTTAAAAACACAAAATAACGTTTCGACCTCCTTAGGTCATCATCAGGTTTAAAAAACTTTGTTACTTGTTTTGTGTTTTTAAATAAAACTTTTTAATACTCATATCAGCCGTCTCTATTACACATATATATATATATATATATTTACTTAACATAACATAACGTTTTGGGACAACATGGGACCTATTATCCATCTCGACTGTTCCATCCTCTGAACTAAACTAAAACTTCAAGTGGGTTCCTCGTCATCTTGAATATCGCAAGCAGTTTAATAATCTAACGAATATTGTAATATCAAACATGTTTATGTACTAACACTGAAGAAGCCGTAAAAGCGAAACATTAATTGAAATAAAAGTTCTCTTATAATTATCTGAGTGTAAATGTCATTTTTTCTAACTTTACTATCAAAATTTATGGAAAAAAGGCTATCTAACAAACATCACAAGACCTTGTGCATTTGCAATTTTAACACATCTTTTTACACTTATTTACATAGAAAGCAGAATTTTTACAATCTTAGTTTAATAATAATAATTGCTGAAATAATATTGTTCGAATCATAAATAAACAATATTACGTTCTTTGTGTTTCTTCACGTGATATCAAACAATAAACTCAAACGAGAAAAGGTTTTTGTCCAAAGGTAATTTATCAACGTCACAAGCACTTCCCCGAGCCGAGACAAACGAGTAATCAATTCAGATTGCCCAGGATGTGAAATCCGCACTACTTACCTGCCCACAACTGAGCAGGTTTTATTTCTAAAGGGACGTTTAATGTACATAGTTACTTTTCTTCTTATTATTATCACGCATGAGAGTTGTGAAAAAAAAATTGTTACTGCTACACGCAATGACTGTGACACGTTATCAAGAGTAATAAATCTTACTTTAGATTAACAAGTCATGCCTCTGATATTTGTCTATATCATAGCTACGTAATATATATATATAATAATAAATAAAATGTTACACGAGCGGCAACTAAATAAAATTTTATTTTTGACGGTATACCTGCTTTTTACTTATATTTTCTGAACAATGTAATCTGAAAATACTGACTCAAGGCAAAATATTATAATGCCTTTGTTGTGTATTTTAAGTAAATTAATTTATAAAAAACCTTGTAGTATTCAAATGTCCACCCAAGTTGCTCATCAGCTCACTAGGCCGAATCCGAACTGCAAGATTTAAATCGCGATATCTGATTTCTACTGCCTAGAATTTACAAAAATCAACTGCCTTACAACGGTTACTCATTTACAAATTATTTGTAACCGTAGGAAAATGACAGGGTAAAAGTCTTTAAAGTCCAACCGATTCAGGGCAGTACCTAGAATCATGGATACTTGTTATTTATCTCTCCTTTTTTCTCTCTCTATAGAAACATGGCTACTACAGAAGTTTTTTCTTTCTTTCTTTCTTTGTATAACCATATAAAGTTTCTATTCTCTCTATATTTCTGTAGAATCATATGAAGGTTTTCTTTTTTGCTCCCTACCAGTGGCTCAGTGGTAAATCTAAAGGCTTATAATGCTAAAAACCGGGTTTCGATGCCCGTGGTGAATATAGCACCGATAGCCCATTGTGTAGCTTTGTGCTTAAATACAAAAACAAACAAAAAAAGACACTTTCTTCCTCTCTGTAAAACCACGTGAAGTTTTATTTCTTTTTTCTTCTTCCTCTGTAGAACCATATGAAATAATTTATCTTTCTCTCTCGCTGTAGAGTTATATGAATTATTCTTTCTTCTTTCTCTCTCATTCTGCAGAATTATAATTTCTCCAATATTCCTATCATATTGCACAACATATCTTAATAAGTGCCTTATAATACACTCTTTAATTACATTATTATGTTGTAACGCCACAAACAGATTTTATTAAATCATATAGAAAGGTTATATATAATTACGTCACTCTCTACTTTTTCAACGTAATTAGGTTAAATTTCTTTAGGCTAACACTTTTGAAAGAATAAATTATTTGCTGTACCTAGTGCTAAAGTTTTATTCTGTCATTAGTTTCAAATCCACCGAAAGGGTCTTACTTTTGCTTCCCTGCTTGCGCTAACATGAATTGCTTAAAAGCTCCAGGTACACCATTTGAAGAGTAATTATTGGCGAGTACTGCTGCTGACGAGCATGGTAATGTAGCTGCTTTAAAGATTATCGAAAACATGACTACTACATTTTTTAACTCGTAACGTATTTCTTTGATTTGCTTCCCTTGATAATTGAAAAAAAAAACACAACTGGTTATGTAAAAGCATAACTGAAATATGATTTCTATATGAAATTAATACAGAATAAAAAAAACACTTTAATAGCATTTTCAAGCTGGTGCTCATTCGTCGTATATTCTTCATTAAGACCACACTAACATTAAGTGCTCAAAAACTTTATCTAATTACACAACATTTATGATTTTATACAGTATATTTTTTAATATTATTTTACGTACACGTACGAAAAACGCAAAAAATCAAAGATATTAGTTTATACACGTTAAGCCCCATAGGCAGAAATTCGAAATGTTGCGCGGGAAACTAATTTTTTTTATGTTTTCTTTTTCAGCTTTTCAATATTTTTACAAAATATTAATATGCTATTAATGATGATCATTTCGTAAATTCATATCATGTTCATGAAGTTTTATTTGTTTGTAATTAATCTTTCACTTACATTTTCAATAATACTTTTACTTGTTTCACAGGAGAACCTTTTATGATCTGCACAATTAAGATTGATCGAATTTTGATGTACGTTTTACGTGTGTTACTTCTTTCAAGATGATTGGCTATTTGTTGTTTGTATTTCTGGTTAACGGCTTATATTTGTATTTGTAGAACGGCTATGGTTCTTATTTCTAAAGAGTTTATAGTTAGAAGCTATGTAAACATACCCCCTGTAGCAGCTTAGCGTCGGCAAATACAGTAACTCATCCTATTCCGAAGACAAAAGCAAAATTGTCAGTGACAATTATTATCAGTCACATTAAATTATATAATTTTAGCATAATTTATTAAAATCGTCAAAATTAATCTCCGAGTTTTCAGTGCTAGTTAAAATAACTTCAATATACTAAGCGTATCAAAAAATATTAGAATAATGTAGAAAAAAAAAGAAGCTTATTCTTGCTGAGAAACTACTAATCCATTTCCATAGATGCATGTTAAATCATGCAAGGTACTGCCAAAATGTACATAGGTTAATATCGCTATTAGGAACGGCAAAATCAAACGTCTGTGCAAAAGTCATGCTTAGATGTAAACAGATCAGAATCATATGTTAGGAATGACCAATAAAAATGCCGTTTTAATCATGCCTAGATGTAAATAGATCAGAATTATATATTAAGAATGATCAAGAAAAATGCCGTTTCAGTCATGCCTAGATGTAAATAGATCAGAATCATATATTAGGAATGACCAAGAAATATGTCGTTTCAGTCATGCCTAGATGTAAACAGATCAGAATCATATATTAGGAATGACTAAGAAATATGTCGTTTCAGTCATGCCTAGATGTAAATAGATCAGAATCATATATTAGGAATGACCAAGAAAAGTGTCGTTTCAGTCATGCCTACATCTTATGGTAATCCAAATAAATCCAAATCACGGGGCGCAGAATAGAAAAAAAAATCACAAAACAAACAGGAGTCAAATACAGTGCATATCAATGTAAAATAGAATGCAAATAGCATTTTTGATGAGTCAATGAGGGATGGTTATTATATTGTTGTTGTATTTTAGTATTTTTCGAAAACTCATTTCAAGGTTCTAACAACAATACAAGTTGTATTATATCAGTAATCAGAAATTGTGTTTCTATACTTACTCATTCTACAAAGTTACCTATGTTAACTATGTATCTCTTACTACGATATGGTTGTATACTTCAGAGTGCCAATTGAGACATTTTTTGTGAGACTACTATATATAACATAGGCTGAATGACAATTTATTTTAACTTTAGATCACATGACTGAATATCAAATGTCTGAGGAAGGTCAGCTGCTGTAAATGCTGTATGTCAACCATATGACAATATAAGTATTTTATAATTCACTATCTCATTATTGACTTTTTCAACAACTTAACTAGTTTAAAACTTAATTTTATCACGCTTATCATTCATTTTTAAAATATTTTATGAAAGTTATTTTTCCTTGTCATAGCTTTATAGTTTAAAGTTTATTCCGTTTATCAGTATATTGTTTTGTGTCGTATCGAACGTCATTGGGTCTCGTGTTGGCGGTAGTTATTCTTAATAATGTTGTTACACTTACAACTAGGAGTATCTTTCGGCAGATGACATAGTTTTTGATATGCATAACCTAAACTTTTCTCTAGCCTCCCTCCCAACCACTCCTATGTATTAGCGATAAGTGTGAGGGCTTATAACGCCAAAAATAGGGTTTCGATACTCGCGTTGGGCACATCGCAGATGGCTTGTTTTCTAGCTTTGTTCTTACTAACATACAAATCCCCCCCCCTCCCGCAAAAAAAATTGTACATTTAATTATTTGATTACTATAAAACAAACGTTATATTTACTTTGTTTAAAAATGAAACTACGGACAAATGTAAAAACACTCATAAAAACTTTAAAAATGCATCAGGCCTATATTATATAACATTTAAAAATACACCAGGCCTTATTATGATACCTTGAGTAGATTTTATGTTGTGTATCTTACACATTGTATCCTCTAGTTTTACGAATGTTTTACACAAAGCCTTTTTCAACTTGGTATTA